CTGACATGGTTGCAGTTTTTAAGACAATTAGTGAAGTGACGCACGTCGATCATGCTCCCCGATTACCGCTTAAAAAAACAGCAGGCCTTGAGACGCTAGAACGAAGGTCGACTGTAAATGTAGCGTCGATGTACTTTAAATTGAATATTGTAGTGTAGTAAAAATTTGACTTGCTCAATCATTGGCCGAAAGTTTGCCTCTAATCAAATTCCGTACATATGGCGTGTGAGTTAGAACGGTGCAGTGCAGTGGTCTGCTGTGCGTATTTTGCTGCTAGACGCTATATTTAAAGTTTCATGGCCTAGTTATTTCCTGCCTTGGCTTTGTTTGAAAACTTAAAGTGCTATCTCGCTGCTTACCCTAGACTTATCATGCCACTCTAGCCGGCCGCCTCAATTCACCACCGAGTGCACTCTTCATGTGTGCTCCTTTCTGCCGTGCACTGAGATGCTCTAAATAGAAATTCTGCTTATTTTTGCCACGATTACGCAGATTTCTCTCTTTATATAAGTTTATTTTATTTACAATTTTACCGATGTGTTGTCCTTTGTCCAAATATCTATCATTGCTAACATACTTGCTCGTTGGCTGAAATTTCCATAATTTGGAGTGCGAAGTTAAAAATAAATTAATTTCATTACAAGAAACTATATCCATTCAACGCTTCCCTGTGTTTGGTCTTACCCAAACGTCAAGTTCTCGTGTGTTGTTTGGGTGTTTTTTTGAACCTACTTTATCACTGGCTAAATTTATCGTTTGAATTCAAGTTTACATTATGGGTATTTAAAGATACTGGTTCGCAGTTTGGAATTCAGTTCCTGTGAATGACGCTGTGTTTTAAAATGCCTAGCAAATTATGGACCAGGCAGTAAGTCCAGCAGCTATCTCAATCAATCGTCAGTTATGGAAAGATCGGGTTCCAAAGCCCGGATCCCTTAATTGTGAATCAAGTCACGAAAAATTCATGAATCGGCAACAGGCCATGGGCCTATTTCTTCAGTGCCGACACTTTTATTCTATTCTTATACATTCATTATCGGCACAGTTTATTTTCATTGCGTTTTTATTACTGAGGGTTATTAAAATTACACTGTTTTTATTTGTAGGTAAAATCTTAATCTCGAAATTCCTCGTCATGTCGGTTTCATAAGCTCTTAGTGCTCTTATCAATTAGATATTATGTTCTGAGATTTATTGAGTCAGTTGCGCAGACAACTCGAGTCGTGGTACTTATGGAATTTGATAAAGCTCAACTAAAGTTATTTACGAGTGAGCCTCATGATAATCTGTGCAATTCATTTGCGTATTACTTTACTTTATTTCTTGCAGTTTTATTTTCTGACATTATTTTCACTAAAAGAGTTGCATGTGTACTTTATTTTTGATTAGAAACCTCCACCCGCTGAATTTGATTCACGTTTGATGCAATGCGTTCATGTTTTTTTTATATTTAATGACTGCCACAAGATATTCAAGGCCTAATAAACATGTTGGCACAATTTATTTCATCCCAAGAGCTCTCAGGTAAAGGTGATGGGACTGGTAACGGACCAAAGGGTCCGTCTCTAATTCGATTGATAATTAAGTACTTAAAAGAGGAAACTTAATGCAGATACCGTCGCATAACGGGGTTAATTTTTCACGAAATATCATCTGAATAATTTTCCATTGGTTGTGAGAGGTTACGCTGGCAATTTCGTTAGAATGGCAAAGTCCCGCTTCATTTAGAGGTCACGTTTTGGGAGTATTCGAAGTATTCTTAATATTTCAAAGTATTTCCATTGCAAGATTAGTTCTTGGTTACAGCCTATTAACGTAGAGCTTCGTTCTAGCAAAAGACTAATAAATCCTCAGGCGCGAGAGTAGTCTGCTGTGAAATAATCAGTCCCACCTATCGCGAGTTCGATGTGCAATGCCAGCAATATTTATTGTGTTTGTGAGGTATATACGCGACTCGAATATTTGGCTTGGTATAGTTGTTTTCGATGGGAAAGTAAACAAGTTCTCGAGTGACTCGAATCGCAGCCAGGCTATAATTGGGCTCTTTACTCGCATTTAATATCACCTTGAGGTAGGTTCTCTCTATCTCTCTGCCTCGTACGTCTCGGAAATTTGCGGTTCTCGGAAATTTAGTCTCGAAAATTCGCGGATTTTTATTATATAGGTTATGTCTTAATTTTTATTCTTGCCATATCCATATCACTATATTCTCATGTAGGAAGTATGCTCTGTTGTGTATGCAACCTGCTGAACTTTCCTGCATTTAATAATCGTGTTTCACATGAGTTTTTGATTAATGTTACATAATTTTTGTGTGGACTTCGGTGTAGGGCGACAACTGATAATATATTTATTAATATTATTGCATGTTTATTTGGCTCGGAGCTCTTTTTAAACTTGTCGTCGGCTTTGTATAACATTTTATGGATCATTTTAATTCAGATGACGCTCTAAATAAACAGTAATCAAGAAATCTACGGACATTGCTCCTGACATTTAAATTACTATTCATGAAACCGAAGCTTTAATATCAGTCACGTACTTTATTCACGTATTAGCTCGAGATAAAAGCTCCAATTGCACGTACGTTTCTAAAAAGCTGATCTTGAGTTTTACCTTCGGGACTTGGTGTTGTGTGTCGAGATAAAACCAATACAATATGTATTTGTTTTATGTTGATATGTGTATATCTATTATGATTATACGAAATAACTGTTGATTTTTAATTAATGCTGTGTGTATTATAACGATCGCAGTTAGTGTTCTAAATAAGCATTTTTTGCTCGTTCTCCTAAAGGAGTGCAAATCAGACAGTGAATATTTTTGCTGTTGACCACGACACAATTTACGTGCATCCGCATGCGGGATATCAATTATTTGCACAAAGCGCTGCTTGTGACGGGGCCACTAACTACAATAAACTCCGAGGCTCTTAGCGACGCAGTCTAAAAAACATGTCATGGTCTAGAAGTAGATGTACGATCCTGGGCTTTTTACGGCTACTGCGAAGTTAAGAAGTTATTGCTTCTTTCCTTAACAACTTATTGTTGGTAATACAGCGGGAAAAAACATTAATGTCGGTGAGACATTCACGTCAACCTAAATTTAAAAATTTTATTTCTTAGCTCATCAGGCTCACAGAAATCCGAGTGAAAACTGAGAGAATATAATTATAGCCTCAAGTAAAGATGTCGAAGATAGAAATTCGTGTCAAGTATTTACTTTTCTAGTAGAAATATTAAAAAAACGATGTTAATATCAAGTTAAACAAACTGCAGAGAAATTATTCAGATTACGGAGCGTATATCCGAGGCAGAGCTCCACCAGAGGAGATGCAAGGCGGCCACCGCTCGGCAGGCAGTCATGTACGGGGTGTTGGCTCCGTGTCAAAGCATGAGTCAGCAAGAGCATGTGCTGTTGTTCGCCCTCGTGCTTCTTTTCTTCATTTTCTTCGTCATGAGAAAGACCAGGCTTGTTGATAGTCGGTGCTTTTAGTCACTTATCATGTCATGAAAGGGTTGCGCTGTCGTAAACGGCTTTATTATTACTGCCGCGTTTCAGTGCTGCCCTATGAAATGCGATGCCCTGGTCCGTACGATTGAATTTCCTCATGCATTTGGTGAGTCACCGCTGCCAACTCTATAGCTTGGCGTGTCTCCATGTCTGGTCTTATTGACGAGTATTGCCCCCATCGAGACCTATATGCTTCTTTATAATATGGCTTCAGTGAGAGTCTATAGTTCACTCTATGGGGCAAACTTGTCGAGCTGTTTTCGATGTCGATTTGTTTACAGCAGATCAAAATGAGTACAGCAGCAGAAAAAAATAGTTTCACAGAAAGAAAGAGTTCATCATTGCCACAACCATCCCATAATTTTGAGTACCTTGATTTATTTATAATTTATTCTTGTATTCAGACGTTTATATTACTTACCACTTACGATTATTCGTTAGCTGCAAAAAATAGACGTGATCTTTTTCATTTGTTTCAATTTTTTATCAATCCTTAACCGCGAATTGCGAGAATTCTAACGTTTAAACCTAATTATGAGCACCGTTTGTATCTTGTAAAAGTTATACGTTAATTGCGTGTTATGTCGTATATATGGCAGGACGTGCGTATGGTATACGTGTTAAAATTAGTGCGGCTCAAATGCCACACGAAAGTTTGCACCCCTTTGCCGTTTATAAGAAAAAGGCTTTTATAAAAATTCAAATTTTGTGAACGTTTCTGTACAAGAGCCAATATTTCCTTGAAACTCACAATGTCTTACGGTTAAAAGTAATTTTATTATTCTTGTTGCTGGGTTTGATTAGCTAGCTTAACGTAACTATATAAATGACTGAGGCGATCATCATGCGTTTCCCTGCACCTTCTTCAAAGTCGATAACTTATAGAAGGTTTACTTGAGTTAAATTTAATAGGGAAGGCAGTTCGATTTTGCGCAATTTATTATTCACTGCCTGGTACGCTGCTCCAAAATTTTGATTTACGACTAATCTTCTACGATTCAAGTAATCCGCATCTAATTTATTATTAAAGAAGCTAATTAATTTCTTGATAATATAATTACCTGAATGTATTTAACATTTATTGATTTTTCATCATAAAAATTGGAAACTCAGCTCAATCTGTTCCTAGGTTTCACCCGAGCATGTGACGCTATGAAGAGAGTTTGTCAAGCGAATAAGTCATAACCGTATGCATTTCATGCTATTTACTTTCCGCTGTCGGCTTCGAAGTTATTTTTTGCGTTGACCTTGTGCGATATCTTTTCTTTTTTACTGTAACATTTTTCCATTTTGCACTGGATATTGAATTAGATTACGAGCCATCAGACTCTTCAATTTTCTTTTTCAGTAATGTAATATTGTTATTCGTGATCGGCAGGCCTTAATTTGTACTGATTATTTTGATTGCAAGCAATCGCAACGTTGGCTGCTCCAGTTCTATTGCCATTTCGATAAAAAATACTTAACAATATCCTTCTGCATTTTAGGAGGCGAGGCGACGCAGGGAGGCGGAGGATCAGCCGAGCCCCAGGGGCCTGGGGAAGAAGAGCTGGGCAGGTTCTGGGAGCTCCTCGACCCCGACACACAACCCATCATGCCCATACCAGGATGCCCAGAGTCACAGCAGATCTTTGAAGATCACAAGGAGGTGAGAAGCTTCCCAGAAAATATTAGTCATCTTCTTCCACCATCACATGGCGCAATAGTGTAAGCAAAAGTTATGATTCACTTTTTTATTTATATTATAGTTGAGTAATAATGGCATCACATGTGCATAAAGAATGAGGCAGATGAAAATTTATCGAGTTGATTAATTGACTGTTTTATATATACTACGCTACTGATAAATTGAGAATTATGATTTATGACATACTTAATATATTAATTAGATGATCGTTTTATTCGAAATATGGAATAAACCGAATCTGAGTCATGGTATCCGATGTGTACAGAATTGAGAAGACTTTTTTCTGACCTTTGAAGAAGTTAAAAGTAAATCGTAGTCATTAATCACTCATCAGGACTCCAATTAATTTAGTGAAGAGTCCAATGTGACTGCGTCGTCATTAATTTCCTCGACTGCCGTCGTGCCCTCCACAGCCTCCTCATAATTGTCGGCTTCTGCTAAGTGCGAGTTTAATAAAAACCAATCCTTTTATTTTAAATGTGTTTTTTGATATCCGATTCAACCTCGAAAAATCTCGTTTTTAATTTTATTTAACTTCGGTTTTCTTACCGATCAATGTAAGTAATTTTTTGTTAAAATTTACCTATACACGTTTTTTAGAGGTGCTCAAGTCACTGGATATTTTACTACTGCATATGTCGACTTTGGAAGCTTGGCTGTAAACAAGTGAAAAAAATTCTTGGTCAACGGCTGCTACGTCACGAATCTTGAACGCGTTTTTTATGAGCGCTCTACTTAACGCGTTGGTCGTTGCGGTGATTTCGAGCATCACGGTAACAAATTATGTCGAGGCTTCCTCTTACGACGAGTGGTTCTTCTACCTGTAATTTGTGATCCGTGAAAACTGATTTCTCCTTGCAATATTCTTACGCATATTTTGATGGTAAACTAATGCCTGCACACCTCTTGGTTGAGACATAAATCGTGCTCAATGAGCAGCATCTTGTCACTGCTCATTCTTGCTGTACAAATGGCGTTTTTCTTTAACTAAGCCGTGTGTGGTTCCCTCACCTCGACTTCTCCGACAGATGGCGCGCAAATATTTGGTGCTGCAGCAGGAGATCTACAATTTGTGCCAGCAGAAGAAGGAACTTTCTGACATGGTTACCGAAGAGAAGAACAAGCAGCAGCTACGCCAGTCCCGTTACCAAGAAAAAATCGCGCAACTGAAGCGAAAGCGGGTGAGTTTAGCTTGAAGCTAAAGCTGAAAATTTACCGATAATTTTTTGTATACTTGGTGTTACTTTATTTTCAAATTAAATTTTAATTACTTGAGGCCAAAATTGAAATTAATCGGGTAAGATACTAATTAGAGAATACGTGAGAAGCTCTTGGCATTGATGTCTAAGGGTGAAGAGTTCGTACAGGTAGCGCATTCAATAACGTTTCTCAATTTAGTGCATTGCGATGCATGCTCTTAGTAGAATTTTAGTGAGCATAATCATTGGGTCTATTCTATGCGATGAAAATCATGGCCTTAATTCTTTAGCAACTACAGTTGCCGATACTAACCCATTTAATCTGCAGGAAATTCTTCGCAACAACCAGTCGCGCTTAAGAGCTCAGCTCGACAAGATCAAAGGATCGGGGAGGGACACTTCGAGGGACGTGACTATGAGTAACGCCAACCCCGCTACCGCTCGTCACCACCATCACATGGCGCAGCAATACCAACCCTCATCACCACACAGATCATCACACTACACGTCCACACATCACATGCCTACTGGAGGCGGTCATCACCCAACACCACCGCCTCAAGCAGTGTCATCACATCCTATGATGTTGCCCATGCAAGATCCGTATTATCCTACACGACAATCTAGACAACAATTTCAACAGCAGCAACCATTCCAACCACAACCACCACCACAACAGCCGTTGTTGTCACCCTCCTCCGGAGGATACCTACACGCAACCTCCATTTCAAGTTCCCCTGGCGTTAGTCTCAATCCCCTGCCAGGTTCTCGTCATTACTACGGCCAGCAGCAACAACACCGGCATCACCAGCAGTATAGCTCAGACCTCGCCTATGCCAGTCCTCCTGATTAATCTCCCTTGCAATCCCATTCTTAATTTCTGTGCTCTGATGAACTTTCCAGTTTTTGACGTTTCATGTGTTTTAGTAAAATAAATACGGTATTGATTTTATGAAGACTATTCTGTCATCAGTTACATGCTTGCCAAAATAATTTGGTTAAATTTACACCTAAAGTTGTCAGATCCGCGTCCTTTCCATCTGGCACTTGGTTGTTGATGACTGCGGACATGTTTTTAGTATTATTAATCACGTCTATGACCTTATAATGCCAATATGACTGAGTTCTGGTGTTTTTAATACAGGGGAGTAAGTCACGATCTGGAAAATTCGTTTGGCTCTTGGCTCCACTGCAATGGGACAGGTTCGTGTTCCTTTTTCTACAATTAATCACAGAACTGTCTACTGTGCATTTCTACTTGTATAGTCAACTAAGACCTCTATTATTAATGTTCGAGGTAGATATGCGATCAGAGCAAATCATTCTATACGTATTTATTTATATGATTGCGCATTTCTACTTGCATAGTTAACTAAGACCTCTATTCTCGATTGCTGATTGTGAATTTTTTGTAGAAACGAGTATTTAGCAAGCCCTTGTGCTGCTAGTGCAGGGATGTGGCAGCTTTGGTTCTTTGTTATGTCTATTATGTAGACTAGATAATTTATTTTTGCAGCTCGCAGCCGAGTTGTCGTGATCCTAGTCGTTATAGTAAGTAGTGGTGGCTATGAAGCTGATGCTATGCAATCAAATAATCACCTGACCATTGATCAAACTTTCGTGTTGATAAAGCTCCTCTGGTACGCGAACTTTCTTTTGCAATTTAATGCGAAAAAATTGGTAGGTACTCGTTCTAGATTAGTAGGTATTTAGTGCAATTCTCGTGCGTAAGAGAAATTTTTAACAATGGATTGAACATAATAAATCAAACTGTTGCTCGTGCGACTACTGCATTGGAAGATGACAATATTCCATTATCATTACCGACGTCACCAAGATGTGCCTAGCCTGTGTTCGAATTACTACATTAATTGAAATGGCTTATGGCATCCAAATTAATTTCGTTCAGGTAACTGTCGCTTTTGTCGTTTTGATGTTTGACTGTACTTTTGGGACGTTTTATCTTGCGTTGGTCTTCGAAGAATCGATACAAGAAATGTAAATAAGGACACTGATCCAAAAAAGCATTTAATGAGGTCGATTCTACCAAAAAGGTTACGATTGTGCTTGTATTTTGATGTGCGATCAAGACGCCTTTCCGGACTTGAACTGTATTACATTTAAACGTAAAAATCTGTGTTGGAAATGGAGGAGGCCTACTTTGCAATAAGTTGTTCATACACCCGCAACAGCGTCGGAAGAATTACTCTGATTAGTCGAATGCTTCCTCCTGCTCGTTTGGGTTACCTGTATATTGCAACCCAATCGTCTACAATTATTGGTACAGATATTATTGTACACCTTGATTAAATAATTGGGCAGATGAATAGATACCAAATTTTTTTACCGTCTTCTCATTTTAGAGTTAGTGCATATTTCAGTCACGTGATAATTTCAACGCGTCCCAGCAAATGGCGTTTTAACTTCAGGCAGGACAAAAAGTGAAATAGGTATTTCTGCAATTAAAAATGTGGGGAGATAGCATTGTACGGGTTATAAGAGGTACGGTTGACTTTTAACATAAGCACTAGCTGCAGTAATTACATTGTATGCAGTTGGCAAATATTTGTAATTCGATCGCTTTCTTGTGGCATACCCTCACTCCAACAAAGACAGTGCCTTCAGTTTGTTGAGCATTTGAATTTTATTAAAAGAATCTAAGTACGTGTATGTGCTACTTATTCCTTCTATTTCATACAGTTCCTAATGTATTTCCTTGTGAGAAAACAGAGAAGCAAGTTTTGAAAATGTCCTTACATACCTGCCATTTTATGGGTGCCGTAGAGAAATACAAATTCAGCTGTTTTCATTCACAATCGAATTCGTTTGAGAAAAAAATTTGTAAACGCTTCTTAGTTACACCAACTCAATGTTAACTCGGCTCTCGTTGATAACCATCATTTATTACCTGCCCAGTCTATTGTGGTTATCACCGCCACTGATGACTTTGTGCATCAACGCGTCAACGATTTCACTACATCTTAATGAGAAAATAACTCATTGCCGTTGAAGTTTTTCGCGAATTGTTACGCAATTTCTTTCCAAAGAAGATTTAAGCACAACTATGGTAACTACCAAGGAAAGAAAGCAAGACATGAGCAAAGGAATTTTACTCATTGGAGACTTTCAAGATTTCTCTTTCATCTGTGTAGGCGGTGAACTTTTTGAGCTACTGGCCTTTGTTTCTCTGTGCTGCTTCCATTTGGCGTCCAAATCTTCACGGGTTTTGCGGGTTTTTATCTGTTGCTGCAAATCAAAATTAAACTTCAGTATTGATGGATAGGTAGAAACAGAGCAAATACAGCCTGATAGCCTTAGCAAATTAAGATGTCCAGCTAATTAGTACAAGATCACTAAAAATACAAAAAGTGCAACAGTTCAAGTGTGAATAATTGGGATAGTATTTACATACAAAATAACCTCAAGAAGCCACACAAAACTGCTAAACCTACTGCTAATTCAATACCATGAAACTCGTGGATTCAACTCTACACTGATCAATACCTAGCATCAAGCTTCTTTAATAAGAAATAATTTTCCTGCATGACCAACATCAATATCACCAATTTTTACAAAAATGAAGGACTGGCAATGACAACCATTGATAATCTCTCTAACTAATACTGATGTTAGCATAGATTAAAATCAAATAATAGATAAAATTCTTACCTGTACTGATTTTTTGATTGGCTTTGTTTTGTTCTTGAATTTTATTGGAGTTTTTGAAGTTACTTTCTTATAAATGGGGTTGTTTTTCTTCATAGTCTTTTTGTTGGTGTTCTTGCCCATTGTCGTAACTTAAACAAATGCAACACTTCAACAGAGATAAGTCTAGTCAGCTAGAGATCAACAATATTATTAAAGTTTTCAATTGCTCACACTGACCATACTCATTCTGGAAAATAATAATAATAAATCAGTGCAAACGTTCAACATTCAACACAAATAAAGACGTTATCATGAATAAAATTGAATCATGACAGGAATTACTTCACAATCATGTTTTTATCAGGACTGAAATTCAGGCTGGCCTGGAGATCTTAGATTTGAAATAATATGCATTTAAAAATTACTTTTTAAAGACAACACTTCTAAAGAATCCAGTGTCTCTGATGTTACACATATACAATAAATTTCTAATTTTATTTCCAAATATTGTAACAAAATTTTAATTTTTATACATAAATTTTTTTTAATGATTTATTCTGTAAATTCATTCATGCATTGTCAACACACTTACATAAGTGTGCAAAATTTCAGACCGATTGGACTTGTAGAAGTGTACCGTATCAAATATTGATTATAAGATTTGCAACAGACAAACGAACAAACTAACAACAAGTAGTGAAGTTAAAGAGAAGTGTTGTAAAAATGATTGTATCATCAGGTACAAATTATCTTGTATCTTGTGCTAGAAGTTGCAACTTGTGTACTACTTTTCAAGGACAGAAGTCAACTCTAGGGAAATTAGAAAAAAAAAGAAATGGAAAACATCACTATAATTGGGTTATAAAACAATAAGATGACAAAACAGTCTAAATAAACATCATCATTACATGATAGACAAAAAAAAATATTTGTACAAGTAAATAGCTCTGCAGCTAAATAGCTCAGTTAGTTAGTTAGTTTAGTGGCCAAATGTTTACTAGCGCTTCAGCTATTTAGCTATCTCGCACCGAAAGTCAAGATGAACATCACCATAGAGGTGGAAGGTCTCAATTATTCATCACCCACAAGGGGTGGAAGGTCTCAGATGTCCAGCCCGCTGAAGCTGGCTCGAAAGAAGCAGCGTTAGCATCTCAAAGAGACGAAGTGACAAGGAGGGACAGGTGAAAAGCAACAGAAACGAAGACACTCGAACAAAAGGTCGCTTACACGGGACGTCGGCCGCCCGCACGAGAGAGACTGAGAAGGGAAATGTAAGGAATCCTACCTACATAATAACTTAACCCCACAACTGAGACCTGCAGTCAGACACCGCAAGCTCAGCGGTGGGGCGCTAAGGAACAATCCCCCTAGGAACGTGAAATCCCATAGGACTTCTGACGAGCACAGACACCCGTCAGAAGTCCCCCCTGAGGGGCTAAATAGCTCAGAGTGCTTTGCAGTAACACAAGAGATAAGATGTTCTCAGTAGCTTAGCTAGGCCTTACATTAGGTTCTATGTCATAGTAATTTGGAATGTTTTAAATAAATTTGAAAAAATATATTTTTTATTTATTTAAAAATAAAATAAGAAATTAACTTAACATGAGTAACATCAGAGAAACTGGCCTCTTTAGAAGTGTTGTCTTTAAAAAAATAATTTTTGAACGCATAGTATTTTATAACCACATTTCTCTTCAACTTCACTTCACGCTTGTTTGCTACAAATCTTATAGGTAATCTATATTTAACACACTTCTACCTGTCCAATCGATCTGAAATTTTGCACACCAGCATAAAGTCAGAGACAATGCATAAATCAATTGACAGAATAAAAAAATTAAGAAATAAACTTTTTTTCAAATATTTACAAAATTATTTAAATAATATCTTTTTATATCTAAAAATAAAATAAGAAATTCATTATACATATGTACCCTTGGAGACACCAGCCTCCTTAGAAGTGTGGTCTTTAAAATGTACTTTTCAAACGCATACCGGTATTATTAACTGGGACATCTCGTCTTGGTATTGTTCCAGAATGCCCACAAAGAGTTGAATATTGTTCTGGTTCTTATCACAAACCGGAACAAGCCATGTTGTCTCCTCTTAAATGTAGTCTATAGTTTGGTTACAAGCATGCAATTAGGAGGAAGTTTGCTGTCACCAGCATGTAATCAGAGGTGTCATTCATTTCTATGAAAACCACTCTAAAAATAGTGCTAAATACATTCCAAACAATTAAAGTAACACTTTATGAAGGTACTTAACTATTTGTAATAAAAAAATTTTATTAAAAATTTATCCTCTATTAGGAAATTTCCAAAAATATTTTATAAGATTCACACAGCAAATTTTCATGCAAGGACCAAATTTAATCAGAATTACCTTATACATGAACTGAATTGCAGCCAACTTCATGCTTAAAGAACTTGGATATTAAGTGATCATTAAAATTTTTTATCCAAAATGTGCAATACATGATCAACCATGACATTCATTCAATACATGATGACATTCATTTTTAAAACTGGCAAAAAATAATATATACATACATACAGCTTTTCATACTGGCTTCTGGTGAACATTCTAAAACTTAATGCTAAATGAAAATTTGGCAGACATGTTGCAAATAATTGTCTGCACAATTTGGCATACAATTTATATGATCAAATCAAATCATGTAAATGGTGGAATTTATAATTAGTTATATATAATTGAATCTAGTTACAGAAATACAGTTACAGAAATCTAGTCTTGATCATTGACATGAAACCATTCCGTTTTTAATTAATAAAATCAATTCTTTTTTTTTTTTGTTGGAATGGTGAGTGTGGGAGGCCTTTTAAAAAAAAAAAGTTACAGAATAATTTTTATATGATCAAATAGTTTTGATAGTGGGTTATAGCAATAAAAACAAATAACTAATATGGTATCTATTGCACTTCTTGGACATTTTTGCTGCCAAAAATTCAATGCCCAATTCCTCAATCCTCATCAGTATTCAGTAAGACCATAATCACAATTTTTGAACAGATTTAGATGGAACTGTACAGACAAAATCTTTTAGTACCTCCCTGATACCTCAGTGTTCAGATTATATGTTTCTCGTTTTAATTACATTCACATGCAATTGATGGATGTTATTTTAATTGAAAGAAAATTTAGTCCCCTTCCAATCCTGCCAATCAGGATGGAATTCTAAAAATTAAGGTTCATATATTCTTTTTGATCCACCTACACCACTATTTACAACACTTCTCTTTAACTTCACTTTTCATTTGTCTGTCTGCTATAGTACTAATCTTATAGTAATCAATATTTAACACACTTCTACCTATCCAATCGATCTGAAATTTGGCACACTTGCATAAAGTTGGAGACAATGCATGATTCGATTAACAGAATAAATGAGTTTAAAAATTAAATTTTTTAAATATAAAAAAAAATTATAAATAATTTTGTCAGCTACAAATCTTATTATCAATATTTAACACACTTCTACCTGCCCAATTGATCTGAAATTTTGCACACTTGCATAAAGTTGGAGACAATGCATGAATTAATTGACAGAATAAACAATTTTAAAAATTAAACAAAAAATTTTTCATTATTAAAAAAATTTACAAATAATTTTATCTGCTTCAAATCTTATAATCCATATATGACACAATTTTACCTGTCCAATCGATCTGAAATTTTGCACAATTGCATAAAGTAAGTGACAATACATGAATCAGTTGACAGAATAAATAATTTTGAAAATTTACAAAATTTGATACGTACCTTAAAAAATTTTGAAAAATAATTTTTTTAATATTTGAAAATAAAATTAGAAATTCATTCTACATGTGTAACATCCAATACACTGCATTCTTCAGAAGTGTTGCCTTTAAAAAGTAATTTTTAAATGCATATTATTTGATCCAAAATTTTTAGAAAGGATAAAAATAGGAGGGATTAAAGTTACACTTGAAAGAATCAAGAATGAAGAATAATAGAATAGTAGAATAATAGAATT